GTGCACTTTTAAACTTTAATAACTTAGGTTGTAGGTATGATGGAAATGATCTGGAAACGACATTTAAAAGCAAATTAAAGTTTAAAAGTGCACAAAGACTTTATGAAGACCCTGTAGTATTACATTCCCTATTCTTTTGTGTTTTAAATAGGGAATTGACCATTGTGGTTATACTGCAGTTCCTGGTGGTAGTCCTGTAGTTTTTAGGGATATGAAAGGTTAAACAATTAATTGGTTAACTGATCAGCTCAATGATAACTGGTTAGCTTACTGGTTATTGTTTAGTGCGGGGCTGGACCCAGTCCTACAGGGAAGGGGTGGAGGAGGGAAGCCACATGCTACCCTAGGAGGAACCACAAGGTGGCAGGGCAGGCAGGAAGAAGGAAGGGACAATAGTCTTTGAGGTTAAAGAAGAAAACAGTGGGCAGCCTAATGACTCCTCAATTAAACAATTAGCTGCTCCCTCCCAGCACATGGGCTTCGCCTGAGCTGTGTTGTCTGGCAGGGCTTGCCACTGCTCCCACCGCCACCACAGGGCCAAAGGGCCTGAGGAAGGGCTCCCAGCAGCAGCTATGTCTGAGCTGCTGACTTACTGGTCAAACCAGGAGTTGGCAACATTTTTGGGCAGAGTACCAGAAACACCTGCAACCTCAACCTGTAAGTTGTTTGCATACCAGGGCAGATGGAAAGGGAGACGCAAGGGGCCCAATCCTTGTGGCACCACAGCCCCAGCCTCTTCCTCAAGGCATGCATGCCAAGCAAAATGCCTTCACATACCACATACTGGCATACGTGCTGGGCTTTGCCTACCCCTGGGTTAAACGGTTAACTGATATAATTCAAAGAGATTAAAAGGATAATTTTTTTTAAAAAATATTCACATCCCTAGTAGTTTTGTTGCATCCAGGACACTTCAGGGAAAATGCAAAAAACACCCCAAATGTTATGTTTTATAGCATCTTTTATTGGACCAATTTTATAATGGGAAAAATGTTAGGTCTGACAGAAGACTTTGTGCCTTAAAGCTTGCCTCTCAGCACTCCTGCCAATTAAAGGTAGTCCAGTAAGAGATAATCCAAAACAAAATGTTGCTTACTGTAATCGGTGAATTTTGAAAGGACCTTGGCAACTCTGAAAACACTGTTTCTATCTGCCAATTGTGCATACTTCAGTTTTAATATTTAAACATTACTATAACTAATAAAACTATATATACACACACCAAAGAAGCACTGTATGTAGGTCACCTTTGCCAATATTTCTCCGGTTAATTTAATGATTGTGAGGGGATAGACCTCTTCAATATGAACAGATTATAGGAAAAAATGAGGGATTTAAAACAATTTCAAAATGCAGTACTTTCAAAAAATTAGTTTGATAAATTACTTTTTTAGGTACTGAAAATTAAGTCAGGAACTACTGTAGTTCTCCTCATGCTACCTGCTAGATTGCATGTATAAGTCAGAGTTCTTAACGTTACTGCACTTGATAAAAAGTCATAACATCACTGCCTGGCCACCATGCAACACTGTAAGCACAAAAAGCTCCTTCAGGTGTAGACATCCCATACAAAGCCTATCCACTGCTGAACTCAGTGATGCTTGAGCCTCCTACTGACTAGTCACAAATAGTTTATTAAGGAAGTAGTCATACAACCAAGGAAGCTGTTGTCATTGAGCCTTCATCCAACTTAGGTTTCCATTTTTCACTTCAATATTCTTAAACTCTTTCCCCATCTCAGTGATGTATTATATTTGCTGATAATATAACTTGTCTCTTCAACATGTTATTTTCTTAAATGCCAGGTTATTTTGATAGATTTAACCAACACTGTCCCCCCATATACAGGAAGAGACTTCTCCCTCCCTTGATCTGGCTTTCTTCTTGATCAGCCTCCACTCGGGAAACTAATACCCTACAGTCACATTGGGAAAATGTGTTACAAGGGTTATCAACCCTCACATTTCAGAGAAACTAAAGCACAAGGTCAAGAGGAAATCTGCTTCGTTCTCCTCACTCTCTCATTTAACAAGATTCATGTATCTTAATACCAGGTAACAAAGTCACAATTCAGTAGCTAGGGTTCAGAGCCTGGAACTTCATGAACTTGGAAAAACATGCAGGCAAAAAAATTTTTTTGCTGAGAAATAGCATTCAAAGGCCTGAAAAGAGAGGAACATCCCCCATCCCATCACTTGGCAAATTCTACAAACCCTTCAGCTACAATACTCACACTAGTGACTTATTTCCACTTATGTAAATAATTAGTTATGGACAGATGTTACATATGCAGTGCTGCTGCACTTCAGAGTGCTACAAAAAATGTACCATTACAGGTGTGAATAGATGTGATGTGACCCTTCTGAGCCTCCAGGCCAAAGCACTATGAAATAACTGAACGCATGCAGCAGTGTGCTCTCCCAAAGAGGATGTGACACAGTTACTCAGCCCTGTGGCTCTGCTCCTCTGTCCTCCCTGGCGGGAGGGGTGAGGGGGAAAAGGGGAGAATGGGAGCCTGTCAGCACACATGCTGTAGCCCAGGGATCCTGGGGGTGGGAGGGTTGCTTGTAGAGTTTCAAATGCAACATCTGTCCATGGCCTACAATTAATGATACGAGAAAGTTTACACTAGGGAAAATGAGTCAAAAGCATCACATGACAAGATCTCAGAGTGTGGCACAGTAACCCATGGTGTGGTAGGAAACCATATTTTTTCACTCATTTCAAAATGATCCTTGTTTTTTTATGACAAAAATATTATTAAAAATAAAGTATGCACTGTTAAAAAGAAAGCCTGGGATCATGTCCCTTTGAAAATGCCTCCCCTTCCCTTCTTTTTTTAAAAGAAGAAATTCAGTTTTTCACTACCCTGAAAGACTGCATAAGATTCATAAGCATGTAGGCTTATGATAAGAAATACCAAACTGTTTTGTCAGACTGTTTAAAAACTGTTCATATTAACGCCTTTAACACATTAGAGAAAAGCTCTTCTATGATACCCTGCGTTCAAACCCTACTCATTAAAAACTCAATTAAAGACTATCATCATAATACATCCCAAAGAGACAGCTTTCTTGCAGATAAAATGCAATAACATTGTTCTCTAGCTATGTTTTTAAGACTATCAGGCTGGTTGTTTTAGGTCCGTCATCCTGGCGTGCCACTGAAGCTCAGAAAACTTCTGAATCCTTCCTTGTAAAAAAAAGAGTTTTCACACTGAGGAATGTCAAAGGATGTGTAGGAAAAAGGAGAGGAAAAAACCCAGCTTTTTTTTTGTTTTGTTTTTTTACATTATGGGCTGTTTTTATAGGGCTGGTTTTACATTTTTGTTTTGGCAGTCAAAGGGGTTTTTTTGGTAATCTTTAGCTTCTAATCATACCTAAAAAAACCAAAACAACAACAAAAAACTTGTTCTTCACTGTAGATGTGGTTAAAGTATTTAAAAATACCATTCCTTTCTGAATCTTCTCATCTTCCTCCTACTCTAACCTTAGTTCTTCTTTTGAAAGCACTTATTACCCTGTCAATGAGCACTAATCAAAATTAACAGATGGTACTGACAGAAGTGACATTAGACATATGATTAGCCCCCTGAAAGTGCCCTACAGGTGTGCTGTGATGTGCATGGCTGCAGAGTGCTTTAAAAGTAGCCAACTGTGTGACAAATAAATTAACCAACATCACATGAGGGATAAGAGGAAGGATCTCCACTTCCGAGTGCCTTA